GTGTGTGTCCGTGTATGTATCTGTATGCTAGGTGTGTGTGTGTGTCCATGTATGTATCTGTATGCTAGGTGTGTGTGTGTGTCTGTGTATGTATGTGTATGTGTGCCTGTGTGCTGGGTATGTGTTGATGTACAGGAATTGCTCCTTGTCCAGAGAACCTCAGATGAGCCTGTACTGGTGACCGTGGGAGCATGTTTCCCTCCAGCACACGCTGTCTCTCCTCCCTTCTGCCACTCACCTCGGAGAACATGGGCAGTTTTTTGGCAAAGTCCACCACACGGGTGATGGCCGGGGTGATGATCTTGGTAAACTCGCTGAAGGCTTCCAGGTCCACCTTGTCTCCATCCGGCATGGAGACGATGGGTGACTGGCCAATGTCCTCAGGCTAAAGAGAAAGACGGGGGTCAGCTGGGGCCACAGCCCCCTTTCAGCTGCTCACTGAGGCTCCCTGCCCACCAGGGGGAGCTCCAAGGCAGCTTGGGGAAGAAGGGCCGCCAGTGCCCGAGTCCCAGCCCCAAAGCTTTTTCCTTCACCTTGAGCGGAGCCAGAGCTCCAAGTCAGCTGATAATACTAATGGCAATAACAGTAGTAGCAGCTATAATGACTGAATACTTAATATGTGATCAGGCATCAGGCCGCATGTTTTACATGTCTTATCTCATTTCATCCTGACCGTAATCCTAAAAGGAATAATTATGATAATCACCATTTCACAGATGTGGAAACTGGGGCATGGGGCAGCTGAATAATAAGGCGAAAGTCCTATGACTAGCAGGTGGTAGGACCAGGGTTTGAACTCAGGCAGTCTGACTCCTGACTGTCACATTGCTTGGAATCAGAGCCCGTGCCCTTAACAGTGCACTGTGCCACCCCTGGCATGCTCCACCAGGTGCCAGGAGCCAGATTTCTGCCTTCCTTCACCATACAAAGCCAACTGTCCATCTCCTGCCAAATTGACCATTTCTTTTTGAGACAGGGTATTGCTCTGTTGTCTGGGCTGGAGTGCAGTGGTATGATTATGGCTTACTGCAGCCTTGACCTTCCGTGCTTAGGGGATCCTCCTGCCTCAGTCTCCTGAGTAGCTGGGACTACAGGCATGCACCGCCACACCCAGCTAATTTTAAAATTATTCATAGAGGCCGAGCATGGTGGCTCACACCTGTAATCCCAGCACTTTGGGAGGCTGAGGTGGGTGGATCACTTGAGGTCAGGAGTTCAAGACCACCTTGGCCAACATGGTGAAACCCCGTCGCTACTAAAAATATAAAAATTAGCCAGGCATGGTGGTGGGCGCCTGCAATCCCAGCTACTTGGGAGACAGGTGGGAGAATTGCTTGAACCCGGGAGGCGGAGGTTACAGTGAGCCGAGATCTTGCCACTGCACTCTAGCCTGGGCAATAGAGAGTGAGATTCTGTATCGAGAAAAAAAAATTATTTGTAGAGGTGGCTTCTCCGCATGTTGCCCTGACTGGTCTCCAACTCCTGGACTCAAGCGATCCTCCCACCTTGGTCTCACAAATTGCTGGGATTACAGCCATAAGCCCCTGCATCTGGTCCCGAACTAATCATTTACTTAGCAACTAACTTTACCAGGGCCTAACGAAATACCTGGCATCCAGCAGGTGCTCAAAAATACTATGACATGACTGTATCCTTACCCTTTCCTCCCAGTCATTACGGGCAGAAAAAAGAAGAGAGGTCACCCCTGCTCCCTGGAAATTCGATGAGGAAGGTAAGGCCCTGTCCTCATGGAGCTCCCAATTGGATGGAGTAGGCAGGGTCCAGACAGCAAGGACACAAACACAAGTGTATAAAATTTGGACAGCAAAGGTGTGAAGAGGATGAATTTTGAGTTGGATTACACCAAGACTTCCTGGAGACGGCAAGACTCTGAGCTCACTCTCCTCTCCCTGCCACCTGGCTGCTGCGCTCCACATGCCCCCTTTCTCCTTACCAGGAATTTCCGCTTCTGCTTCCAATGGCTGCCCTGGGCATTGGTGCTGCGATGGGCCTCTGTGGCAATGTGGATGAGATCCCACTCTTCAGGAGTGGGCTCTGGTCGCTGCTGCAGTGATCGGATCATCTCCTCCTTCCGCCGCCGCTCCCGGTTCTGCTCAATCAGCTTACGCTTGGCCACCCGCTTCGAGTCATCTAGAACCACTGTGAACAGAGAGGTACACGATCCTACGCATGGCACCCTCCATACCCTCTCCATTATGCTCCCGGAATCTACTCTTCCTAGAGTACAGGTTGGGAAAACTGAGGGCCATGGAGGCTAAGTGACTTCCCAAATCACCTAGCAGTTGGGTGGCACAACCTGAATCATGATTAATCCCCAGGACCATGTCAACAGCAGTTTGGCCTGATCCAGATGAATATCATGTTCTGGTCTAACGGGTTATGGTGATGGTGGTTACCACAAGATCCTGCCACCCAATCCCCAGCTGATGGAAGATGCCCTGTCTCATCTAGAAGTAGGATGCCTTCCCTGAGAGTCAAGAACAATGTGCTAGGGTGGGTGCCCAGGAGCTCCTCCTACCAAATGAGTTCCTCTCTGAGGCCCTCGAGTGTTATAAGGCAGGTAGGCACTGCAGCCCACACAGGGATACTGTTTCCTTTTCTGCAGGAAAGACGGCAGCAGGGACCAAGACACTTAAACATTCTGCCCTCAGCCTGACCTGGACTGGACTGCCACTCTGCCCTGTGGGCCCTGAGGTACCCTGGAAGGGAGCTGCCCTCCCGGAACTCATCCCCACCCCAGGCCACCTGGCTCTATTCACCCCACCCGGGCTCCTTACAGTCCATGGCCATGCCCACGGCGATGCACTTCTTGAAGCGGCACAGCTGGCACTGATTGCGGGTGATCTTGTCAATGACACAGCAGCTGTCATACTTGCAGGAATAGGTGGGATGGAGGTTCTTCTGGATTGTGCGGCGAAAGAAGCCCTGGGGTGGGGGGAGATGGAGCAGGCTGTGATCATGACATGACTTCCCCTTCCTGAACCAACAATGAAGTTTACTGGGGGTCAGGGGTGGACAGCAAGGAAGGCAAGATCAGTGAAGGGACCTGACATCCTCCTGATAACACGAGCCTGGGCTCGAGGACCTGAGAAATACATGCCCTCAGCCCCCAGGCTGCTGAGGGGTTAGGGGTCTCTTCGTAGTAGTGGTGGCAGAGGTAGGAATGATGACCACAGCAGGCAGCTTTGAACCTGGGATGGTATGAGGTGTTATAGGTCCTTAAGGAATAGCAACTTTGGAAATCCAAGTAAAACCTAATTTTCCATCTTGCTAAATGACTCTAAAAACAACTTATCTTTACTAAGTGACTCACGTTGACCAAAAACTGGCCCCAAAACCATTCTCGTATATGTTGCCTGTTGTCCATGCAGGTGGAATTCATTAAACAGGGAGACCAAAAAAGTTGAGGAAAAAGTGCTGAGTATGAACTCTAGCAGGGGAAGAGAAAAATTTCAATTTTACATATTGGGATTCACCTTTACTTTATTTTATTTTTATTTATTTTTTATTTTTTGAGACGGGGTTGCACTCTTGTTACCCAGGCTGGAGTGCAATGGCGCGATCTCGGCTCACCGCAACCTCCGCCTCCTGGGTTCAGGCAATTCTCCTGCCTCAGCCTCCTGAGTAGCTGGGATTACAGGCACGCGCCACCATGCCCAGCTGATTTTTTGTATTTTTTTAGTAGAGACGGGGTTTCACCATGTTGACCAGGATGGTCTCGATCTCTTGACCTCGTGATCCACCCGCCTCGGCCTCCCAAAGTGCTGGGATTACAGGCGTGAGCCACCGCCCCCGGCCCATTTTATTATTTTAGGCAGACATAATTTTATTATTTTCGCTCTTGTTGCCCAGGCTGGAGTGCAACGGCGTGATCTCAGCTCACCGCAACCTCTGCCTCTGGGGTTCAAGCGATCCTCCTGCCTCAGCCTCCCTAGTAGCTGGGATTACAGGCATGCACCACCACACCCAGCTAATTTTGTAGTTTTAGTAGAGACAAGGTTTTTCTTTTTCTTTCTTTTTTTTCTGAGACGGGGGTTTTTCTATGTTGGTCATGCTGGTCTTGAACACCCGACCCCAGGTGATCTGCCCGCCTCAGCCTCCTAAAGAGCTGGGATTGCAGGCATGTGCTACCATGCCCAGCTAATTTTGTATTTTTTAGTAGAGATGGGGTTTTTCCATGTTGGTCATGCTGGTCTTGAACACCCGACCCCAGGTGATCTGCCCACCTCAGCCTCCTAAAGTGCTGGGATTACAGTCACGAACCACTGTGCCCAGCCAGGATTCATCTTCATATTAAAGGAAAAACCTCAAAAATCAAGATGATTGCAATAATATGAAGAATTAATATTTGTTCATATTGATAATATGTCAGTCACTTAGTAAAGATAAGCCTTGCCTGATGGGCGCAATGACTCACACCTGTAATCCCAGCACTTTGGGAGGTTGAGGCAGGCAGATCACTTGAGGCCAGGAGTTCAAGATTGAGATGGGCCTGTCCAACATGGCAAAACCCCATCTCGACTGAAAATACAAAAATTGGCCAAGCATGGTGGCGTGTGCCTATAGTCCCAGCTACTCTGGAGGCTGAGGTGGGAGGTTTGCTTGAGCCCAGGATGTCAAGGTTGCAGTGAGCTATGATTGCACCACTGCACTCCAGCCTGGGTGACAGAGACCCCATTTAAAAAAAACAACAGAAACAAAAACCCAAAAGATAAGCCTTGTCTTTCATGGAACACCACACTGAACCCTCAGGACAACCCTATGAGGTAGGAATTGTTACTGCCTCCACTTTGCAGACTAGGAAACTGAAGCTTGGCGAGATGAAGCAATTTGCCCAAAGTCATGTGGCCGGTGGGCAGCAGGGTCAGAACTGGGCCTCAGGTATAGGACACCAAGGTCTGAGCTCTCAGATTCCAGAGGGCATTAAAATCAGCAAAGGTGGCCAGGTGTGGTGACTCACATCTGTAATCCCAGCACTCTGGGAGGCTGAGGCGGGTGGATCACGAGGTCAGGAGTTCGAGACCAGCCTGGCCAACATGATGACACCCTGTCTCTACTAAAAATACAAAAAATTAGCTGGGTGTGGTGGCAGGTAACTGTAATCCCTGCTAGTTGGAAGGCTGAGGCAGAAGAACTGCTTGAACCCAGGAGACAGGAGTTGCAGTGAGCCCAGATAGTGCCACAGCACTCCAGCCTGGGTGACAGAACAAGATTTTGCCTTTTTTTTTTTTGAGACAGAGTCTCGCTCTGTCACCAGGTGCCAGGCTGGAGTGCAGTGGCGTGATCTTGGCTCACTGCAACCTCCGCCTCCTGGTTCAAGCAATTCTCCTGCCTCAGCCTCCCAAGTAGCAGGGATTACAGGTGCCTGCCACCACACCCAGTTAATTTTTTGTATTTTTAGTAGAGATGGGGTTTCACCATGTTGGCCAGGATGGTCTTGATCTCTTGACCTCATGATCCACCCTCCTCGGCCTCCCAAAGTGCTGGGATTATAGGCTTGAGCCACCGTGCCCGGCCAAGATTTTATCTTTAAAAAAAAAAAAAAAATCACCAAAGGCACCTACCAAAGATACAGATTCCTGGGCCTCACTCTAGAACTACAAAATCCAACTCTCCAGGGGTGGGGCCGAGGTATCTCTGTCTTTTCAGGGTGCTTCCCTGGGACTCAGATGTTCATGACGGCAAAAGATCCTTGCTCCATGCTACACTGTTTGTATTGCTTCCAGAAGGACTGTATTCCTTCTGCGCGGGAACTGTAAACCCCTCGTGGTCTCGGTTTGGCTGACACCAGGAAAGAGAGAAACTTCAAGCCTTAACTTTTTAAACTTTTTTTTTCTTTCTTTTCTTAAAACCCCACCCGCAGTCCCCTAACTTTTTTTTTTAAGACAGGGTCTTGCTCTGTCGCCCAGGCTGGAGTACAGTGGCATAATCACAGCTCACAGCAGCTTCGACCTCCCAGCCTCAAGCGATCCTCCTACCTCAGCTGCCTGAGTAGTGAGACCACAGGTGTGCACACCATGCCTGGCTACTTTTTAAATTTTTTTGTAGGGACAGGGTCTCATTATGTTGCCCAGGCTGCTCTTAAACTCCTGGGCTCAAGCAATCCTCCCACCTTGGCCTCCTAAAGTGCTGGGATTACAGGCATGAGCCACCATCCCGGGCCTTTAACATATAAATAATTGTTTCTTTTTTCCTTTTTTGAGACAGAGTCTGACTCTCTCGCCCAGGCTGGAGTGCAGTGATATGATCTTGGCTCTCACTGCAACCTCTGTCTCTCGGGTTCAAGAGATTCTCCTGCCTCAGCCTGCCAAGTAGCTGGGATTACAGGTGTGTATCACCACACCCAGCAATTTTTTTTTTTTTAAGATATAGTCCCGTTCTGTTGCCCAGGCTGGGGTGCAATGGGGCAATCTTGGCTTACTGCAAACTCCGACTCCTGGGTTTAAGCAATTCTTTTGCCTCGGCCTCCCGAGTACCTGGGATTACAAGTGACCACCACAATGCCTGGATAATTTAAAAAATATTTTTAGTAGAGACAGGGTTTCTCCATGTTGGCCAGGCTGGTCTCAAACTCCTGACCTCAGGTGATCCACTCACCTCGGCCTCCCAAAGTGCTGGGATTACAGGCATGAGCCACCAAGCCCAGCCACACCCGGCTAATTTTTGTATTTTTAGTAGAGATAGGGTTTTACCATGTTGGCCAGGCTGGTCTCCAATTCCTGACCTTACTCATTCTTTCATTTGCTCATTCATAATCCCTTCTCTGCCACTCACAGGAAAATTGCCTAACTTCTCTGAGCCTCAGTTTCTTCATCTATAAAATGGGATAATCGCCAGGCACGGTGGCTCATGCCTGTAATCCTAACACTTCTGGAGGCCGAGGTGGGTGGATCACCTGAGGTTGGGAGTTCGAGACCAGCCTGACCAACATGGAGAAACCCCGTCTCTACTAAAAATACAAAATTAGCCAGGCATGGTGGCACATGCCTAGAATCCCAGCTACTCGTGAGGCTAAGGCAGGAGAATCAATTGAACCTGGGAGGTGGAGGTTGTGGTGAGCTGAGATCGTGCCATTGCACTCCAGCCTGGGCAACAAGAGGGAAACTCCATCTCAAAATAAATAAATGAAATAAAATAAAATGAGGATAATCATTCTATCTACCTTACAGGATTGCTGGGAGAATTAAATGAGATAATTCACTTGAAGTGTTTAAAACAGTGCCATGGGGTGTAGTAACCTCAGGTGATCTGCCTGCCTCGGACTCCCAAAGTATCAGAATTTAAATAATTCTGTTTCTTGGAAGGCCTTGAATTTTTAGGAGGTGATTCTGGAAAAGCTATGCAGGCTGAAATGATCAAGGTGACATCTAATCAGGTCTCCCAAGCACTTTGGGAGGCAGATGCGGGAAGATCACCTGAGGTCAGGAGTGTGAGACCAGCCAGGCCAACATAGTGAAATCCCATCTCTACTAAAATTATAAAAATTATCCAGGTGTGGTGGTGCATGCCTGTAATTCCAGCTATTTGGGAGGCTGAGGCAGGGAGAATGGCTTGAACCCAGGAGGCAGGGGTTGCAGTGAGTCGAGATCATGCCATTGCACCCCAACCTGGGCAACATAGCAAGACTCTGTCTCAAAAACAACAACAAACAACAATTAGGCCTCCCAAAGTCTATGACCTTGTCCCCTCTGACAGGAAGAACCTGCTGTCCTCTTCTCCTCTGTGCTCCCACTATGGCCCCAACACTGCCTCTCACTCTTTCAGGTGCGTTGGAAACACTCTGGGATTCTGTTAAAAGGAAGGTTCCTGGGCTCCACCACAAAAGGGTTCTCAGTGAGTAAGTTAGATGAAGCCTGGGAATCTGCATTTTAACTAGTACTGCAGATGGTCCATGAACCACATTCTGAAAAACACTGATGGGCCAGGTGCAGTGGCTCACACCTGTGATCCCAGCACTTTAGAGGCTGAGGAGGGTAGATCATGAGGTCAGGAGTTCGAGACCAGCCTGTCTAACATGGTGAAAACCTGTCTCTACTAAAAATACAAAAATTAGTTGGGTGTAGTGGCACGCACCTATAATCCCAGCTACTCGGGAGGCTGAGGCAGGAGAATCACTTGAACCTAGGAGGTGGAGGTTGCAGTGAGTTGACACCTTGCCATTGAACTCCAGCCTGGGCGACAGAACTCTGTCTCACACACACACAAATGAAAAAAGAAAAACACTGATTTTTGTTTTAAGTCTGTGTCTCTGTCTGACAGGCTGTGAGCAGTTTGAGGGCAGGGTACATAGTATACTCTCATACCTAATAACACACTGAATGAATGGGCAATTGCTTGCATTCATCAAATGCTTCTTATGTGCCTGGCACTATTTATTTATTTATTTGAGACTAAGTCTCGCTCTGTCGCTAGGCCGGAGTGCAGTGGCATGATCTTGGCTCACTGCAACCTCCGCCTCCTGGGTTCAAATGATTCTCCTGCCTCAGCCTCATGAGTAGCCGGGACTACAAGCATGCACCACCACACTCAGCTAATTTTTTTTGTATTTTTAGTAGAGACAGGGTTTCACCATGTTAGCCAGGATAGTTTCCATCTCTTGACCTCATGATTCTCCCACTTTGGCCTCTCAAAGTACTGGGATTACAAGTGTGAGCCACTACACCCAGCCTGTTTTATTTATTTATTTATTGAGATGGAGTTTCACTCTTGTTGCCCAGATTGGAGTGCAATGGTACAATCTCAGCTTACTGCAACCTCCATCTCCCAGGTTCAAGCAATTCTGCTTTGGCCTCCCGAGTAGCTGGGAATACAGGCATGCACCACCACGCCCAGCTAATTTTATATTTTTAGTAGAGATGGGGTTTTTCCATGTTGGTCATGCTGGTCTCGAACTCCAGACCTCTGGTGATCCACCCGCCTTGGCCTCCCAAAGTGCTGGGATTACAGGTGTGAGCCACCACACCCAGCAATAGGGAGAGTTAATTTTTATGTTTTATTATTTTATTTTGAGACAGAGTCTTGCTCTGTCACCTAGGCTGGAGCGCAGTAGCACCATCACAGTTCACTGCAGCCTTAACTATCTGGGTTCAAGCAATCCTCCCACCTCAGCCTCCTGAGTAGCTGGTTCTATAGGCATCTGCCACCACACCCAGCTAATTTCTTTAATTTTTATTTTGTAGAGACAGGGTCTTGCTGTGTTGCCCAGGCTGGTCTCAAACTCCTGGGATCAAGGGATGCTCCCACCTTGACCTCCCTCCCAAAGGAATGAGATTTTAGGCATGAGCCACAGCACCCAGTGTTACTGTTTTAAACACTTCAAGTGAATTATCCCATTTAATCCTCCCAACAATGCTATAAGGTAGATGGAATGATTATCCTTATTTTATAGATGAAGGAACTGAGGCTAAGAAAAGCTAGGCAATTTTCCTATGAGTGGCAGAGGAGGGATTATGAATGAGCAAATGAATGAATCAGTAGCAGAAGAGAAAGTGGCCTGGCGCAGTGGCTCACTCCTATAATCCCAGCACTTTGGGAGGCTAAGGCAGGTGGATCACCTGAGGTCAAGAGTTCGAGATCAACCTGGCCAACATGGTGAAACCCTGTCTCTACTAAAAATCCAAAAAAATTAGCTGGGTCTGGTGGCACATGCCTGTAATCCCAGCTACTTGGGAGGATGAGGTCGGGGAATTGCTTGAACCTGGGAGGTGGAGGTGGCCGTGAGCTGAGATCATGCCACTGCACTTCAGTCTGGGTGACAAGAGTGAGACTCCATTTCAAAAAAAAAAAAAAAAAAAAAAAAAAAGTGATGACCTAACAGGTGGGCTTTAGGTGACATATTGACATATTTATAGAGTTTGTCTGTCGTGCCAGGTTCTGAGAGACTTAAAGGGAGTAAGATGCGGGCTCAGGTGGCAGGGGAGGGGCAGGAGGTGGCTTCCATACCTTGCAGCCCTCACAAGTGATACAGCGGTAGTGATAACCAGTTGCCTTGTCCCCACACACGACACACTGCTCGTCTTTGTCCAGGTAACTAGGGATATACCCTGGGAGGAAGGAAAGGATGGAGGAAGGCAGGCATGGCTTGCAGTCCCAGCAGAGAGGCCCTCACACTTTTCCCCTTCCCTCAACTTTTTGTTTTTGGCCCCTCTCCTAGCCCAGCCTCCCTGGTGGAATCCTAGAGAGACACTGGGGGTGAACATGTCCATCCTCTGCTCTAGAGTATGAAGAATCTCAGTTCTTCTGTCTGCCCATTCAGGGCTTTCTTCTTGCTCTATCTACAAGGCAGAGGATGGTGGGGAGGGAAAAATAAATGTCAGCAGGTCACTGGGGAGGGGACAGCCCCTCAGTGCCTCAGCTCAGGCCCTGATTCCGGTGGGGCCTCAGATGAGGGTGCTAGAGAAAGAGGAAGAGGCCTTCATGACCTAATATACCTTCAAAAGCGGGGTACATCCCCCATCACCTTTCTCACCCCAGACAAGGCCATCCCAAGCCCTCTAGGAGGCTCCCCGCAGGGAACACAGGAGCTGCTGGGACACATCCAGGTCCAGAGGGGGCGTGGCCAGGTTTGGTGGGGTCGGGTGTGGAGAAGGGGCACGCACGGCCAGCCTCACCTGACATGCTGGTTTTCAGGGAACATTGGCCGTTCTTTCTTTTTCGCTTTCCATCTGGTGACCTGGCACTGGATGGGGGCAAAGTGGGCAGAATCACAGAGCAGTCTTTGGGCAGCCCCTTTCTCCTCTGACAGGCTTATACAATCCCCCCCAGGCCTGATTCTTTCCATTTTGCATCCTCATTCTACCTCCCTCGACCCCCCTGAGTCAGCTGACAATGCTTAAAAGGGTCCAGCTATCTGGAAGCTGCAGGAGAGAAAGATAAGGGGCTTGGCTGCAGCACAAACATGCTCTAGAGCCCCGACGCACACACACGCACACACACACACACACACACACACACACACGTTCACCCGCCAGAAGACCCGAAGCAGACCTGAAGCTCCCATCATCCGCGGGACATCCTCATCTTGCAGTACATGACAAATATGCTGGAAGAATTCTCAGGATATGCTTAGAGCTACATAACCTTTAGAACACACACATACATATGCAACATAACACTGGCGCAGATGAATAACCGTGCAGCCTTTGCCATAAACCCAAGTATGGTAAGTATGCGCCAGGGCTGACAGATCTGTGCAATTTCCAGGGCATTCTTAATGTGCTATACGACCTCCAGGATATGCCCATGTGTTACGCAGCCCTCTGCACAGGCACCTCACGGACCCACCCCCATTCCTCCAGTGTGCACGTGCTGCTTGAGTTCCAGGTCATACACACACGCTAAGTAACCCACAGCAATGGAACACTGGAGCCACCCTCTGCACAGCCTACATTTAACGGAGCAGCAAGCTGAGGCCCCACTTGTGCCTGGCGACACCATGAGCTGGAGTCAGCCATGCCTGAGCCCCTCTGTGCAAAGTATTATCAGCAACCCTCAGCCACTGCACATATATGTTGCCAGCTCTCCACACACGTTACATAACCTCGGCACACACAGGTTATGTAAGCTGTCTACATGCATGCAAGGATTGCATAACCTCTGCACCCACCCTGCCTGTGGCATGTTGCAGGCCCCTTCCTCCTGGAGCCGGATACGACTCCCAACACACTGACACAGTGACCTTGGCCAGGGTCACAGTCACAGACAGCCCTGTGCTCCACGCCCCCTGGGGATTACTCCTGTCTAGTTCCTACGAGGCTGAAAGGTCAGGTCTCCCTCCCGTTTTCCAGAAGGTTGGCTGCAGGGGAACTTAGGCCACCTAGGCCCCAGTCGAGCTGGTGGCGTCTTCAGCAGTTACCACTTGACTCACAGCCTCTGAGTGCAGTCCTAGAGATAGCCACAAGGTGGCGCACAGACATGGGGGAGGGGAGGGTGATGGGGGAGGGGCTGCAGTCTTAGGGGACTGGGGACTGGCATTTCTGCTTTTCTCCAAGCCTTAGGAGCAGACTCTTCCAGACCCACGGAAGCCTAAGCAGGGAGATACAGGGGCTGCAAGTAACAGCCACACAGCAACAGGCCAGATCATCCTCAGAGTCCTTCCCGGGATAAGGCTTTGGGGCAGGAGGGCTACCCCATGCCCTGCCCAGCTGTGAGCTCCATCTACTTCCTCTACCCTCCAGGGACCCAGTTGTGGGCCTTAGGGCTTTGCCTGGCCAGGCTTTGGCTTCCTGGCTCAGGATCTGATCTCCTAGGCAACAGCCAGCCACACTGCTCCCCGGAGCACCCCCACCCCCACTCTCTCCCTGGCCATAGGCACAGGCTGTACCCAGCTCCCAGGGCACCGTGCCAACTGGGACAGAGCTCTGTGCCACTTGGAGCTGATGGAAAAGGCAGAGACCCTCTGGGCTCCTCAAGGGCAATGCAGATCATAGGTAACCACTCCTAGATGTATGTGCAGGGCTGAAACTTCACCCACGTGGAAGCAAAACCGTCATGGTTGGCATGCACTTCCACTTTCTGGGAGGAGCCCCATCGCACTGCCCGCCCTTGATCATGAACAAGGAAGAGCTTGTGGGGCTCCTAATAGATTCCAAATATAAGCATGGGCTGTGACCAATAGTTACTGGTGCATGTGCCCTGAAATGTCATATTATGTGAACTGCAGCTTGCGGACAACACACTTATGGTCAGATGGTAAACGGGCTGGTAGGGAGAGGAAGAAAATGGCAAAGTTGTTTGGATCCCACAGGCTCAAGGTGAGGGCAGCCATGGTGGAGGAGACATGGGGGGCACCTGAGACTACCCAGCTGTTTAGGGAGGGGCCCCTTACATGCTCCCTGTAATCACTCTGCTCTGTATCACTCCCACTTCAAAATGGGCATCTCTCAATCCAAGTGCCTAATTCCCTGTCACATCTGAACATGACCTCATCTGCCAGACAGAGGTAGGCAGAAGGCTTGCTGGCCTCACGTCCATCCCGCAGAGGTGCTTAAAGGTGGTGCCTAAAGGAGAGCTCAGCCAGGTGCCCATGCCTGCTGCTTAGGAGTTGGCACAACTTAGTTGCTGAACCCATTACCTGTTCTCCTCTGGGTCTGACCCACACTCCACCTTGCTTGGCTTCTGTTCCATTCACTTCAATTCCATCCAGGATGCCCTCCAGCACGCCAAGAGACTGGGGTGGGCACACTGGCCCCCCCGGCACACCCACAGGCCACCCACCCCCTGCCACCCAGGCCCTAGGGCACAGCACCCATGATACCCGCCTCAGCACTTGGCCTTTCACACCATGCCCTGCGCCCCAAGGTGGGGGGCGGGCGGTGAGAGGGGCCAGGGAGTGGCAGGTGGGAGGGCTGGGGGCAAGCTGGGTATGTGGGTCCTGGGCTGTGGGCTGGGGGAGTAGCTTCGGAGTCTTGTCCTGTTCAGAGATCCCTGTGGAGAGAAGAGAGAGGCAGGGGTAAGAAGGTGTCACAGTGGGAGGGTGGGTAGGATCCCTTTGGTGGCAACATTGGAGGTTCTGGGGGCCCAGAACAAGACAGCAGTGGGCAGGAAGGGCTGGCACAGAGAGGGGACCAGGAAAACCCCTTGGATCACAGGTACAGCAGGAGAGGTTGGAGATCCACCTCCTAAACCCCAGACGTAGGATGAAATGGAGAGAGAGAATGAGATCATTCATGTACTAGGTAACATGTCTCAATCTTCATATTCAGACAAATGCCTGGCTCTTAATGAGCAGCTTTTTATTTTTTTTTATTTATTTTTTTTGAGACAGAGTCTTGCTCTGTCATTCAGGCTGCAGTGAGAGTGCAGTGGTGTGATCTCGGCTCACTGCAACCTCTGCCTCCCAGTTCAAGCAATTCTCCTGCCTCAGCCTCTATAGCTGGGATTGCAGATGCACGCCATCATGCCCGGCTAGTTTTTGTATTTTTAGTAGAGATGGGGTTTCACCATGTTCATCAGGCCGGTCTCGAACTCCTGACTTTGTGATCCACTAGCCTCAGCCTCCCAAAGTGCTGGGATTACAGATGTGAGCCACCGCGCCTGGCCAATGAGCATCTATTAAACATGAGCTATTGTTACCACTCCTCTAGTCAAGTTTTCCCAAAATTCCTCTGTATTACAGGGGTAAGAGGGGACCAGAGACAAGTAGTTTTCAGCACAGGCAGGGGTTACCTGTGAAGGAAGGGTGGGACACAGGGCGGCACGCAGCGAGCGTGAATGCCCATCTTAGTGCCTTCACAGAGAGACATGTTGAAAGCCGTGGGAACTGACCTCCCATGCTGCCGGTCAAGTTATGACCCCCAACTCTGGCTCCTCAGGGACTCCAGAGCTTCCCATACAAGGTCTCGAATCTCACTTCCCAGGAGGAGGATCAGACTTCTCAGTTGGTTTAGCTGAGCTGCTATTGACCAAGATGGCAAGGGGGAAAGGAAAGGAAACTAACACATGTTAACTAGAGAGATAATATGTGCCCTCCAAAGTGGGTACAAGAACTTCACAAATGGGGAAACTGAGTCTCAGAAAGCTTGATCATTCACTCAAGTTCACACAGCTAGTAAGCAGGTGGCTGTGGGATACACCTGACAGCCTGGCCCTAATGCTCACTTTGTTCTGCTACCTAGAGTCCAGGGCAGTGCCAAGCTGGACCCACCATTCCCACCAAACTGCAGCTCTGACCTGGGTTGCAGACCTGTGGCTTACTGTCCGTGTGTACACATGCAGGTGTGGCAGGTAGAAGGGAGACAAAGGGTACAGCTCCCTAACATATGACCTCAACCTCTGTCACATGGCTACTGCATAGGAGACCTCACCCCTCGGCCCCCTGGCCCCACCCCCAGGAGCCGATAAGGAGCCAGGGTAGCAAGAGAAGGGAATGATAAGTCACAGGACTGGGCAGAGCTGGCAGCAGGATGGGGCCTTCGCACCCAGGCAAACCGACAGTGCAGGGAACATGGGCAATGCACAGAAAAGTGGCCCGTGATGCCTCGGATACCCACCCCAGACCAGGACTGGGCACTGGGGGCTGGACAGGAGACTGGGGTGGGGGGGCGTGAGCAGGGAGCCAGCCCAGGGAACCGTCAAGAAAGTAGGTCAAGTTTTTCTTGGCTTGTGGAGAAATTCCTGTTATAAATTTATAATGGCGTAGCCAGCCCTAAGGGGTGGAGGTGGGGGAGGAAAAGGGGTGGGTGGGGAAGCCCAGGGGCTGGGCACTGGGGCCTCATGCTCTCAGCCAGACAGTGAGAGGCAGGGGGCAAGGGCTACTGCAGGGGTGGGGATGGACACTACAGGACGGTCCTCTGACTCCATGTCCATGAGTGCCTAGTGAGGCTGCCTGCATCTGTCTGTCTGTGTCTGAATGTCTCTCTCTGGGTCTGGGTGTCTCTGTTCTCCCCCCCCCAGGCTGTGCCTCGGTGCTTGGCACACCCTGGCTGCGGTGCTGCCCCTGCCTGTCTCCTGCCCTCTTGGCACACTGCCACCACTTGTTTACAGAAGCTGGAAAAATCCACTCGCCAGCCGGAGGCCCAAGTGCCCCCGGGGAGGGGAGGAGGCAGAAACAGGAGTGGGCATGCTGAGAGAGGGGCAGCCTCGGGGAGCAGACCCTGAGAGCAGCTGAGGAGGACCAGTGTGTGCAGGCACAGGCACTGGCCGCTGTGGGCTGGGCAGGGAACACCAGTGGCAGCCATATGGCATGAGCAGCTCCTGCCCCAGGCCAGGGCTCCTGAGGGCCTCCCCCATAGGCCCCCGCCACTTACCAGTTGCTACATTGCAGACTTGGGGCAGTGCCAACCTAAGCCACCATGTTTATTTCCCCTTCCCTCTCCCTTGCCCAGCCTTAACTCCAAATGTGTCTGAGCATTGCCAAGGGCCTGCACGTGCCCGCTGGGGGGAGGCGCAGGCTCGCTCTCTGCCCCACCCCTCTGCTGGACTGAATGGTGCCCCGGTGCTGCTCGGTACTGCCCAGGCTACAGTCAGCCCCCGGTATTGGGCAGAGGAGCAATGTGCTGTCTTAGCTGCTAGGGCACCCTTATTGGGTACCCAGCAAGAGGCTGGAACCCCTGGGGACTCCTTGACATCTCTCCAGGGATGCTCTTGGGCCTCTGGGGTGATGCAGAGGCGAGGCAGAGGGCCCAGCACTCGAGGAGACACATACCACGTGAGCCTATGCTAGCTGCGGCAGAAAAAGGTCAGTGGATAAGGGGCCTGGGGCAGGGGTACCCACCCTTTCTCCCCTCCTCCAGAGTCCAGCTTAACGCCCCAAACTCCTTCCCGGCACCCCTTCGGTGCAGGTGCGGGAGGCTCCGCCCCAAGGAGGCCAAGGGGGCGGAGCTACGGGGTTCTGCACCCTGGCTGGACAGCAGGACAGCAACACCCACCTGTCGACTGGCCTGGCCACCCACTCCCTCCTGGTGAGATAAGAGCTGCCGGGTGGCAGTGTGGGCAAGGTGCCCGTGGAGGGGAAGCATTTCATTAAGCTTAAGTGCTTCTGCCACGGGGGGACAGGGACACGGGGCCAATGCGGCATCCACGGGCGCCAAGCCAGATTCCCACTGCCTGGCGGTCCCGCTCTGTAGTCCTATGAATCTGAGGACACCCCCAAAGGACTCCTGCGGCTGCCAGAGGGGAGTATCTGTTCCTAGGATCTAGCCCCCAATACTACCTCAATTAACCCTCCTGCGTATCTGCTCTGGGCTTTGGCCTCACCTTTCTGGGGCCCCTGAACTTCGTCCTTAGTGCTCTGAAGACAGCCCAGCCCTCCTTGCCAGCCACAGAGACACATACACATAGGGGGGCTGAGAAAAGGATGTAAAAAGGAGGGGTGGGGGGAAGAGAGAAGGAGGGAGGAGGGGGAAGAACAAAGAGATGGGACAGGGCTGGGGTAGAGCTAGGGGTGACAAGGCAGAAGGGGGAGAGGAAGAAAGGGGAGCCAGAGATGGGGGATGGGGAGAAGGGGTGAGGTAGAAAGGACAGATACAGGGAGGAAAGACACACGAAGGAGGGGAGACAAAGAGAAAGGTAACAAAGAAAGATGGGTGGGGGGGCTTCGTACCCTGCCTAAGTCCCACCCCATGCAGGCGGGGGGGGGGAGGGGGGAGTAGGAATGGTTTCCACGGTGACAGCTGGTTCTTGGTGGCCTGGCATGTGGGCTATTAATAGTGCTGTGGGTAGGTTCACACCTCCCTCTCCCCTTCCCCTCTGCCTGCTGCTAGGGTGGGGGGAGATCCCTCCCCCACCGCCCACTCCTGATCACCCAGCCTCCCACCATGGGAGCCAGGAAGGGTGATGCCAAGGGGCCAGGGCAGCCACTGTAGCCCAGACACACAAATGGGCATGCATGGGCACAGGCGTCTGTGGGCAGCACTGCCCCCATGCCAGCATGGGCACCACAGGCAGCCACCCACACTGAAGGGCCCTGGGGGTCTGTGGTGGCAGCAGCACTGCAGCAGTGACACTTGCCTCTGCGTTGAGGGCAGAGGCCTCTCCAGGGCCAGGACCCTCTCTCTTTTCCCACACCCCCTGTTCTATTCTCAGGTGTGGATTGAGCAGGGCTGCCCCACCCAACTCTGTTATCCTAGTGCCAGGAAGGAGAGGAGGAGTGAAGGCGGGAAGGAAGGTACTATTTGGCAGGTGTGATATGGAGAGGAGTACACACAGACTCAGGGCACCAGCCTGGCGGGCATGGGGAGATGGGAGGAGGGGAGGCGGCACCCCTGGGTGAGCTCTCTCTCGCTGGGCCCCCAGGAGACAGGTTCTGGAGCTGGGGGGCCATGACTCATCACCTAGCCACTGTGGGGCCTTAGAGGCTAGAGAATGGGAGATGGGGTGGGGATCCTCATAAGTGGGAGACTGGTTACTTAAACAAAGGCTCCTCCCTACCCCCCCAAAAGAATATAACAGGAAACCCCCCTGCAGGTCAAAGACAGAAAGACATAAACAGCAGCCTTGACTTGGGCCAGATGCCCAGTATTAACATCAAAGACTGTGCTTCCCACCCGGCTCCCCCATAGCCTCACCCACCTGCTGCTCTCCTCTCCCTCCTCCTCCCCGGGCCAGCTCCAGTCGGGCATCAAGGTGGGTGCCCAGGTCTGGAGGTCTCCTCCCAGGTCACACCTATCCCCCATGACCACCAGTGCTGGAGAACTCAGCCCCTCCTTATCAGCCCAACTCCCCTCAGGAATGGAGGCAGGAGATCCAAGTAGCCAAGAAAGCAGAAGCAGGAGCACCCCCAAGCTGGGCACGGCACATTCTCCCCACCCTCCCCCCAGCAGCCAGCGGGTAATTGGAGCTGGGAGCTGGGGCAGCTGAATGCTGGAGGCACGAATGTCACGGGGCCAAGGCACTTGCTGCAGATGGCACCATGGGCACAAGGCTTGGGGTCCTCCCGCCTCACTCCCTCCTCTAAGGCAGTAGAGGAAGTTGCCTGCATGCCCTGG